GATACTTTGAGCTTCCTTACTCTCTACGGCTTTCCTCCCCTCCATGTGGCTGACCTCCCAGTTGGTTTAGACCTCCCAGTTGGTTTAGACCTCCCTGCCGGTTTAGGACCTCCCTGCCGGCTTAGGACCTCCCTGCCGGTTTAGGACCGCCCTGCTGGTTTAGGACCGCCCTGCTGATTTAGGACCTCCCTGCTGATTTAGGACCTCCCTGCTGGTTTAGGACCTCCCAGTTGGTTTAGACCTCCCTGCAGGTTTAGACCTCCCTGCTGGTTTAGGACCGCCCTGCTGGTTTAGGACCTCCCAGTTGGTTTAGACCTCCCTGCCGGTTTAGGACCGCCCTGCCGGTTTAGACCTCCCTGCCGGTTTGGGACCTCCCTGCCGGTTTAGGACCTCCCTGCAGGTTTAGACCTCCCTGCTGGTTTAGACCTCCCTGCTGGTTTGGGACCTCCCAGTTATTTAGGACCTCCCTGCTGGTTTAGGACCGCCCTGCTGGTTTAGGACCTCCCAGTTGGTTTAGACCTCCCTGCTGGTTTAGGACCTCCCAGTTGGTTTAGACCTCCCTGCCGGTTTAGGACCGCCCTGCTGGCTACCTCACACTGCAGGACTTTCCCCTTCTCCCCTCCATTCTCCTTTGGAAAACTGCCAAGACTTACAGCTTGACTCCCCTGAGGTTTTTCTTTTCTTTTTAAAAAATATTTTATCTATTATTTTCATTTTATGTGTCTGAGTGTATTGCCTGCATGTAGAAAGGGGCACCTGTGTCATGCAGTGCCCATGGAGGTCAGAAGAGGGCGTTGGATTCCCCTGGAACTGGAGTTATAGACTGTAATTAGCTGCCATGGCAGGTGCTGGGAATGGAACCCAGGTCCTCTGCAAGGGCAGCCAGTGCTCCTAACCACTGAGCCATCTCTCTAGCTACTTTATTTTTTCATATTAAAAAAAAAATTTTTTTTTTTTTGAGACAGTATCCTCCTGTAGCCCCAAGCTGGCCTGGAACTTGCTATGTAGCCCAGGCTGGCCTTGATCTCACATGCCTCTACCTCCCAAGTACTGGGATTAAAGACATAAACCACCATGCCTAGCCTAGTGTTTTTCTTTTAAACACTAATAAAATGTCCTCCTGTTAAAAAAAACAAACAAAAATAATGGCATGGTTATAACTGATGACATGTGATAGTTTGTTTACATTTATAAATTAAGTTAGTGCATGCTTCTAATCGCAGTACTTGGGAGGCCAAGGGCAGGAAGATCACTATGAATTCTGGACTAACCTAAGGAATTATTAGAAAGGAGTCTAAGACATCCCAGTGCTCTAGATAGCTTCCATACCACCATGGCAGAAGAGCAGAGGTGATCCCTGTACCATGCATGTGCTTTTACTAATTAAGACCTTTACAGCCCTGGCTTCCACGCAACAGTCAGGGCCCTACTGACAAAACATGACTTGAGACTATCAAGACTCACTGTACACATTCTGTAGACCCCCGACCCCCAATCCCATCTCCCATCATGGCCCAGGTATTGAAATCCTGCTGTTACAATCCCTGGAACTCAGTCGACGATCAGGGAAACCCCCTATTCCCAACATCCTCCTAAACATCTGGTTTTTTTGTTTTGTTTCATTTTGTTTCTCTAAATGGCTACCTCGTTCAACCTGAGATAATTTTCTGTTTACCTTTCACACAGCTCATAGCCCTGGACCCAGGACTGTCTTCTTTGCTATCTCCAGACCCCTGACTTGTCTTTACCCTAAACCAATTCCAGTTTTGAAACTCACTTCACCAGTCCTTAACAGAGGTTCTCAATCGGGCAAATATTGCCCCTTCCTATCTCTTCTCCCTGGGGTATATCTGGCAATTGGAGAGACACTGTGGTTGCCAAAACTGAAGGACTACTACTCGTGATAGAGGACTGCAGCCAGGGCTGATGGTCAGCCTGTACAAGGGGACTCCATAACAAAGAGCCCTGAGGACCAAAATGTTAATGAGGGCTGAGAACTGCTGACCTGCACTACCCACTACTGCCACCTGCAGGACACTGTTACCTCCTGCATCATTAACCGTGCTCTTTAGAATTGTTTTTAAAATTTATTTTTATGTGTATGAGTGTACTGTCTGCATGTGTGTAAGTGCACCATGTTATGCAGAGTCTGCAGAAGTCAGAGGGCATCAGATCCCCTGGAACTGGAGTTACAGACAGTTGTTAGCTGCCATGTGGGTGCTGGGAATTAAACCCAGGCCCTCTGCAAGGGCAACCAGGGCTCGCTGATTCAACTCTCCAGTCCTCCCATTAACTGTTTTCTTGATCGTTTCCAATATGTGGCAATTTTTCCTCACTTAAAAATCTTTTCTGGGGTCTAGAGAGATGGCCCAGCTGTTGAGAGTGTGTATTTCTCTTGCAGAGGACCCAAGTTTGATTCATAACACCCACACTGGGTGGCTCACAAGCTGCCTGTAACTAGCTCCAGGGGCCCAATGTCTCCTGTCCTCCATACGCACGCACGCACACGTAACTGTACACAAAATTAAAATCTTAAAAATGAATCTTTTCTGTATTTTATATTCCCCTTCCAGTAATCACCTCCTTTTCCCCCAGCTTTCCTAGAATTACCAAAAAAAATAAATTTTTTTGGCTACTAAAATGCTTTTTGTAACCTGTCTTAAGTCTACCTCAGTCTGTTTTGGCCCTTAACAGGCATGCTTCTACTCACATTGGTTTGTGGCTCCCTGTGTCCTAGCTAGCCTTACTTCCTTCTACTCGGGCCTATTCCACTGTGTCGAGGAGTCCATGAGGCCACCCTGCCCTTTTCAAAGCGCCCGCCCACCCTTCACCTAGAATGCCTTCTTCCCATGTGGCTGTATGATTTACTACTTCACATCCTTTAGAACATCCTCACGTGAGGCTGTCCGATTTTCCATTTTCAGTCCTGTTTCTTGGTACTTTATTTTCCCTAGAGTACTTTCTACCTTTTGAAATGTTTACCGCCTGCCTGGCCTTCTAGAATGTAGGTTTGGGGAAACAGGAATATTTGTGTCTTTGTCATTGCTGAAACCAAGGTCTAGAATATTTGTCAAGGAATAGAAGTCAAACACTGGCTGAACTGACTTTCTGATCAACCTCTCACTAACCTCCTAACATAGACTTTCATGTCTTACTCTGAGTGTTTCTGTGGTTTTCTGTCTTCTGTACTGACTAGCAGTTTCATGGCATAGGGCTCTAGGCTAAAGAAGCAGAACTGACAACTGCCATTTGTGACCCTAAATGTGAACACTATCGAACTAGCATCTTGGTTTTAAAGAGATGAACTGTTGGGAGAGATGGCTCAGCGGTTAAGAACACTGGTTGTTCTTGCAGAGGACCAGGGTTTGAATCCCAGCACCCACATGGCAGCTAACAACTGTCCGTAACTCAAGTTCCAGGGGATCCGACACACTCTTCTGTCCTCTGCAGGCACTGCATGACACAGGTGCACTTACCTACATCCAGGCAATACATGCATACACATAAAATAAAAATAATAAAATATTTTTAAAAAGAGATGAACTGTTAAGTCATCTGTTGCATATCTGCATTTCCTTTTTATATCATATTACAGGCAATCTTTGCAGTAATGGCAATATTGAATGCTATAATCCTGGAGTCAGTAATTAGAGCGCTTATCTTAGCCAATGATTTGGGTTCGAATTCTTTTAACACTCTCTCTTTCTCTTTCTGTCTTTCAGACAGGGTCTCACCTGTAGCCCAGGCTGGTCTTGAACCGGAAGTGATTTTCCTGCCTCAGTTTCCTGAGTACTATGCCTGGCAATTTTTTTTTAACTTTTGCATCTCAATTTTTCTATCAAATGGGGACTACTGAGATCTTATTACCTAATGTTCTGATAAAAAATTTTTCTGCGGGCCTGGCGTGGTGGTGCATGCCTTTAATCCCAGCACTTGGGAGGCAGAGGCAGGCAGATCTCTGTGAGTTCAAGGCTAGCCTGGTCTACATAGTGAGTTCCAGGACAGCTGGGGCTACAGAGAGACCAAAAAAAAAAAAAATTTTTTTTCTGGTTTACTTTTATATGAGTGTTTTGCCTGCATGTTATGTAAGTGTACCCGTGTATGCAATGCCTGTGGAGGCCAGAAGAGGGCATCGGATTTCCAGGAACTGGAGATACAGATGGTTGTTAGCTGTGGATGCTAGGAATTGATCCCAGGTCCTTTGCAAGAGCTGCCAGTGCTCTTAACCACTGTGTCATCTGTCTAGCTCCAGAAATGATTTATGTATATATTTTCTTTTCATTGCCTTTAAAGTTGGGCTGTGCTTTATGTCTGTACATTACATGACAAACATAATAATTAGGTGATGAATATATACATGAAGCAATACAAAATTTTAAGCATTAAATTAGATATAGGTAATTACTTCAGAAAATATAGTGTATAAAACTAAAAACAAAACAAAACAAAACAAAACCTTATTTTTACCATGGTGTGAAATTTAATTGAATTTTAGAGAAATTAGTTTTTCTCCCTAAGGAAAATAATTTTAATTTAAAAGTTTTACTTAACATGAAAAGAGATGACAGCCTAACTCCCTTCATTGCCTCTTTTCTTTGTGTTTTTTTTTTTGTTTCTTTTAGTCTTTTTGAGATGGTCTCCCTGTAGCCCCACCTAGCCTGGAACTTGCTATGTAGACCAGGCTGGCCTTGGACTCACAGAGATTCGCCTGCCTCTGCCTCCCTAGCGCTGGGATTACAGGTGTGCGCCACCACGCCCGGCCCCTTCATTGCCTCTTTGCCATCCCTGCTAACAACATCACTAATTTACTTTAAAAAAACCATAAAGTTAGAACTTTAAACTTTAATGCATCACTATTCTCCAGCATCCAATCATTATTTATTCACATTTTTTAGGTTTATCCTGCTGAACTCTGTGTTTGTAGTCATGAGGCTAGTTTGAAATTAAGGAAGCTATTGAACGTTATCAGATTCGATGATAAGCGCACATTTAGCTCTTACCAGCACGTCGTGCACCAATGCTTGGTATGTCCAGGTGTGGTGCAAAGGGGTCGCCAAGTCCACGTTTCTGTCCACAAGGACCAGCAGGGGCCTCTGAAAGCTGCAAACATACTTGAAAATACAGAAACTTGAGAGCAATACAGACACTTAAAGTTTTCTAATACTTTCTAGTACATTCCATTTTGATATGAATAACTGCTACTATTAAAACTTATAATACTTTTAAAAATTCTGTTTTGACTCGAGTCAGTTATGGAATCATTTGGGCTACTTAGAACCTATGTCTAATGCTAGATTTAAAGACTTACAGAAACTTCTTAAAGGAAGAGTCCTATAAAAATAATTTCACAGAATAACGTTTATAGTTAAAATAAAAGGACTTTTCAGACATGTTTCAGATTTTCGGGAAAAAAAAGGAAAAAAGAATAGCTACTGTCTGATTTAGGGAAAAAAAGAGCACAATCATAGAAATTTACAGAAATGTTTGACAGTTGCATAAACTACAAATTACAACTTTTTCTATAAGCAAAAAATCAAGAAAGTAAGACTCCAGAGAAGGTCCTCAAAAACACCCATCCCATCCTGACATGCAACGTGAGCACAACACGCCACAACCGTAACATTCGCTCAGCAGTCAAGGCATGCACCCTATGAACTGTTTACTCAGTCCTTACAGTCAGATGTGAGAGCAAAGTGAGGCACAAAGCTCTCTGGTTGCCATGTGCTTATGTACAGGCTAGAAGTTTTCTCTAGAGGCGGAACTGTTAACAGACGCACTCAGCATTTTTCAGAAGTCACAGCACATGATCATAGTAGCCATGCACATGTCCTCCTGCAAGAGGAGCACTTTGGTAACTCTTTACATGCCACGGGCACACATCAGGAGACTGTCCTAATTGCACTGACTGAAGGCTAAAAATTACAGTGACACCCTCACCACCAACTCTCATTTATTATTCCAGAGTCTGTGGAGGGAAGAGAAGGCTAAGCAGGAGTGCTGGTTAGCATCTGCCAACTGAATACAAGCTCAGAATCACCTAAGAAAAGGAACCTCAGCTGAGGAGCTGCCTCATCAGACTGACCCAAGGGCATGTCTGTTCGCATTTTCTTGACTGCTAATTGATATAGGAGGGCACAGCCTACTGTGGGCAGTGCCATCCTGGGCAGGGGGGTCTGAGCTGTATAACAAAGGCAGCCAAGTGAGCCGGAGGAGCAAGCCAGCAAGCAGCACTGCTCCATAGTCTGTGCTAAGTTCTTGTCTAGACTTCTTGTGCTGGCTTCCCTTGAAGATGGACTGTGACATCAAGTAGGAGCCAAATTGGCTCATACTTTTCCTCCCCAAGTTGGCTTTGGTCATATGTATATGACAGTAACGCGAAACAAACTAGGACAGCATGATTTCTTAACCTTGGCACTACTAGTATTTGAAGCTAAATAATTATGAAGTTTTGTCCTGTGCACTGTAAGTTCAGTATTGTAGGACGCTCCTTAACACCCTACAATGCAGACTACTAGTTTACAGCAGCACAGACCTGGCTAAGACTCCTAAACATGTTTGCAGCCTTCACCAAATGTCTGCAGAGAACAGAACTGAGGTAGTTGATAACCTCTAGCCTATGGTCAGATTTAAATATATTTAACAATCACCCAAAAATTGCTTTTACATTAAAATAATTAAAAAATATATTCAAGAAATTATGAAAAAGGATGGTAGTAATACTGCGAAGGGATTTAGCCAAATAGAATAGTGCTCTTTCACTGGTTTCTAAGATATATACTTCAGCACCATAAAAAGGAAACTATCAAGTAAGATATGACATAGCATTCTGAAAAATAATCAGGTGAGACGCTCATGTTTCTGCTCTATTTAATGAGAAACATTACGAAGAATATTTAAGACCAACAAGGAAATCAGAGGAAAGTATAAGATAATCTGAGAGCTGACACAGCCAAACAACTGCAACACAACGCAATATGAACTGTCAACACAGGAGCAGTACATGAGTCACAGAAGCCATCAAGGTTGGTTTTCAATAAGTAGAGGGCAGTTAACATGGCTCTCTCTCTCTCTCTCTCTCTCTCTCTCTCTCTCTCTCTGGCTTTTTTGAAACAGGGCTTCCCTGTAGCCCCAGCAGACCTGGAACTCACTATGTAGACCAGACTGGCCTCAATCTCACAGAGCTCTGCCTGCCTCTGCCTCCCGAGTGCTGGAATTAAAGGTGTGCGCCACCACACCCAGCCCTACTATGGCATTTTTACTGTTATAGGGCAGTAATTTCTCTGGACATATTTTTGCCCTCATCGGCTTTGATTAATAATTTACCAAACCTGGAGGGAAGAATTATGTTTTCCAAGTTGGCCCCTCCTTAAATAATTCTCAGACACTTCAGAGAGCTTCTTTACTTCATGTCAACAATGTCCATTTACTATTAAAAATCAGGATGACTATACTATCTATGGAACTGTGCAGTCAGTAACTTCGGCATTTCTTGCTCATGTCACAGGACAGCAATGGCAGAAATACCTTGTGAGTTATTAGTATTTCAAAGTGAAACTGGAACTACAGAAACAAGCATGCATTAAAAAGTTTACTGGCAGCTGAAAGAGCTTCTAACTTTCAAAGCCATGTAAACAGAAAACTTAACTCTACAGATGCTGTATGTAATAGAAATTTCTACCAAAAGAAGGTAGTTTCAGTAAGACATCTACTTGTTTTTCAAGAACAATTTAAGTCAAAACCCTGATTCTGATTAAAAGAAAGGAAAAAAAAACCTCCTTTACAAGAGTACTTTTATCATACCAGAAGAAGAAAACAAAACTAAACACCTATCGAGTGCTACCCCCAAGTGCTGTGAGTACCTCCATATAAATACCTGAGTTGGCCAGCTCCCAGCGTGTCACCTGTAAAAAGGCTGTTTCTTGCATCTCTTAGATTTTCCCGAAGTTTCTTATCTAGTTTCTGAAAAGTTAAATTTTAGATGAATGTTGTGTAAGTCACTTGTTCTGTTTTAGTTATATAAGCAAGAAACTTGGAATTTCTTTATAAAATGGTGATTCTAAACTAAATATTTCAGCACCATGATAACCTGTATTTACATACTTCTGCTGTGTTTCAATCCTGATTTCATTGATAACCACTTTTTTTTTTTTTTTTTTTTTTTTTGAGACAGGGTCTCCCTATAGCCCCACCTGTCCTGGATTCACCATGGAGACCAGGCTGGCCTCAAACTCAGAGAGATCAGCCTGCCTCTCTGCCTCCTGAGTGCTGGGATTAAAGGCGTGCTTGGCTGATAACCACTTTTAACTGACTAATTTGATTTAGGTCCAGGAAACATTTTGCAGTATGATCAATCCTCTCTGAAGTATGACTGAGCTAAACCAAGGATGCTGGCCACACAATGTATGGTCCAAGAAGCCTCAGATTAGACAATGTGAAGGAAGTCACTCTCTACCAATGATTCATCTGGGCTACTAAACTCCCAAGTATTAATATATTAAACTCTCACCTTTCCAGACCACTTAAGCTCTTTTCTTTTTAGCAATTCTTTAATTTTCCTAATCCATTTTCCTTAATCTTAAAGAACATTTTAATTCAACCTGAATACTTTGCTATAGTGGGATAATTTTAAAATGCACTTCAACATTAAAGAGCAGTTATGTTGATAATAAGCACTTGCTAAAAGAAGCTGAATATTAAATGATTTGAGAGGAAAATAACTAAAATAGTACATAAAAGAGACAAGTTTGAATGTGAAATACATATGTAGTGAAAAATAACTAGGGCTGGAATAGCACACTCGAAGGAATAATTCTACTCTGTTGCACAGATGTATACAATGATTACTCTTCATCTCCAGGGGAACCCTAAAGTAATAAAATAGATCTTTTGTATTTAATATATGCTAGTCATCCGATGCTCAGCAGAACCCTGGTGTACTTGAGAAAACAGTCTGCACACCCCAGTCAGGAAGCACAAACTCACCACCGCCACCATCTCTGCTGCCGTTCCTCGTGGACATCGGACGATGGGAACAGCGCCTATTTTAATAATTAAAACGTGTACTTTAAAGTAACAGATGTAATGATGTATGTAGTGATGTATGTCACAGTAAAAGCAAGGTTTCAGAAGTTAACTTTCCCATTAAGAAATAAACAGGGAGCCAGAAGAGAAACATCTTTAGGTGGAGCAGATCAAGGTACCAATGGTTTTCAATGGATGAAGCAGTCAGCATTTTACTTCCACACAGTTTCAAAGACTGTTTCCCCTCTAGTCACAGGATTCACTTTAATTTGGCACAAAATAAAAGAATAAAAAGAGCTTTGTTGTTGTAGCAGTTTGCAACTACCTTATTGTTTATTTTATAATTTAACAATAAAGGATTACCTTTTTAAAATATCAATTTTTTAAAAGATAACATTTCTTCACTAATGTGAAATGTCCCTTAATGGCCCCATTTCACTATCAAAACAGCATCCTGGACTCGCTAATTTCTTTCTTCCTTTTTAATGCAGTCAATGTTATCAAAAGCTACAATCCTAAACAGATACGCTTCAATTGCATTCACGAAATATACGGAGTACACTGCAATCTTCACATGCTGAAATTGCAGCATTTTATTTTCCATACAAAGTATACTCTGTCAAGTGAAAATGTGGAATACTGAATTTTGTAAAACTTTTCTTCTGATGGCCCGGGTTATATATGCTTGACATAAAAATTTAAATAATATTATAGGTGCATGGTTAACTTTGGACATGGTGGCACAAGTCTACAATCCCAGCCCTTGGGAGGTAAAGACAAGAACTTCAAGAATTCAAGACCTGCCTCAGGTATATAGCAAGTCTGAGGGCAGCCTGGAGTAGATGAGATCCTACTTCAAAATAACCATCCCCTCCACCACTCCCCCCAAAAAGAAAGAAAAATGAAAAACAAATCCACAGAACTAGAAAACCACTATGGCAAGGTGGCTACATCCCAGGAGAGGGGAGGCACAGGGGCTGATGCAGACTCAGAGCAGCTCAGGCTACAAAGGGAGACACTGCCACCTGTTTAAAAAATGATTCCGCCAGGTTGTTTTGACATTCCTGGGTATGCATGTGAAATGCAAGAACTGGGTATCATAACACTGTCCTAAATTTTTCTTTTTCATTTAGCAATTCAGTCTCAACACTCTTCTGCATTGGAGTGGCAGTAATTTCAAATTCTCTTCAGAAAAAAAACCTTTCTCAATTCTATAGATAAGAGGTGGTTCTCAGGGCTGGAGAGATGGCTTAGTGGTTAAGAACACTGTTTTTGCAGAAGATCTAGGTTTGAATCCCAGCACCCACATGGCAGCTAACAACCATCTATAACTCCAGTTCCAGGGGATCTGACAATCTCTTCTGTCCTCCATGGGCACTAGACGACACGGGTGCACTTACCTACATGCAGGCAATACACACATACACATAAAATAAAAATAATAAATAAATATGAAAAATAATTTAAAAAGAGGTGGTTCTAACACTTTGGTATTCTTTGTACATCTGTTTGCTAATCTACCCTTACTATTAAAACCTATTACTGAAAAAAAAACTTTCACGCACATAATAAGATTTTGGAGGTTGTATAGAGTGGCAGAACATAAAGTTATTAATTGGTTGAATGACTAGAAAGTACACATCTGTTCTTTCTTTAAAAACAAACACCACCAACACAGAAAAGAAGGCCGAGATGTGGTTCAGTGGTGCAGTGCTGGCTTGGCATGAGTGAGGCCCTGAGTTTGACAGTCAGCACTGCAGAGATCAGCTAACCAAGCAGCCAGCAGACACCTGAACTTATCTGAGGTTAGTGAGAATACTGGCAAATTTAGATGGAGTTAAACTCCTGGAAGGATGGAGTCATACGTGGTGAAACACGGTTAAGCAGCTTTTCTTTCTCCTGAGGCTCTCTCCGCTGTACTCAGCACTGGGAAAATACTATACAGAAAAAGCTTTTCTTTCTCCTGAGGCTCTCTCCGCTGTACTCAGCACTGGGAAAATACTATACAGAAAACAAGGAGACGTGCTGGGTAAGAAGTCAAAGATCTGAGCCCAGGGACAGGAGGAAGAGGAAAACAGAACTCTCTGAAACGAAGGCTCCTGAAAATGCACACAGCTTCTCCTCACTAGACCACGTCCTAAACTACATGATGTCTCTTCTTTAGATTTCTCCTTGTTTTTTTTCCTAGATTTTGGTGACAAGGGCCTTCTGTTAGCCTCAGCTGGCCTGGAACTTGCTATGTAGACCAGGCTGACCTTGATTTCACAGAGATCTGCCTGCGTCTGGGACTAAAGGTGTGTACCACCATGACTGCCTGGCTAGTGAGATTTTAAGTATGTATAAAATTAAAATTGCAATCAAATTTCTACAAAGATCTATTAGTAAAGCATAAAATCATATATTAAATATTGAATACAATGTTTAAAGTAATTATATATGGCTCAAAGAATGTTAAAATTTATTTATTTATTTTTTTGGTCTTTTTGAGACAGGATTTCTTTGTAGCCCCAGCTGGCCTGGAACTCACTATGTAGACCAGGCTGGCCTTGAGCTCACAGAGATCTGCTGCCTATGCCTCCCAAGTGCCAGGATTAAAGCTGTGCACCATCACGCCCAACACAAAACTTTTTTTTTAATATTTTATTTGCTATTTTTTTATTTTACGTGTCATGCAATGCCTGCAGAGGACAGAAGAGGCTGTCGGATCCCCTGGGACTGGAGTTACAGACAGTTGTTAGCTGCCATGTGGGTGCTGGGATTCAAACCTGGGTCTTCTGCAAGGACTGTCAGTGTTCCTAACAGCTGAGCCATCTCTCCAGCCCTGGAATGTTAAAACTTTTAAGAGGACAGGTAGGTTACCATTGTATGTAAGTTCGTTGTTTTCTGGAAGCTTTCGCATTTGCCTTAGTGATTACCATGCACAGATCTTTCTACTTAGAAATTAATGTTTGGGAAAAAAAAATTTTTTTTCAGTCTTCCTGAGACAGGGTCTCCCTGTAGCCCCAGGTGGCCTGGAACTAACTATGTAGACTAGGCTGGCCTGGAACTCACAGAGATCTACCTGCCTCAGCCTCCTGGGTGCTGGGATTAAAGGCACATGCCACCATACCCGGCATGCTTGAAAAATTTTATGACAGGGCATTACAACAAAATTAGCAGTTATATAGGTTGGAGTTATCAACAAGCCATTTAAACAATACACTAGGAAGTCACAATTATCAAACACATCTAAGGAACTAACCCCACTCCCTCCCCCTTCAAAAAAATCTGTTGAGCTGGGTATGGTAATGTGTGGCTATAATCCTAGCATTTGAGAGGCAAAGTTCAAAGGTGGCCATGGCTACACAGAGAGGCCAGCTTGGGCTACATGAGCCCCTATCTCAAAAAACCCAAAACAAATCTGAATGTTAACTCAAGGGGAGTTATCAGAAGAGGAATTTCTTATATATTATAGACTGCATACTTTATCTCAATTCTGGAGAGCATCTAGATTCAAACAGGTTAAAAGGATATTATAATATACTATATTTAAATGAGCTGTTAAATAACTAATTCACTTTGGAGGAATAGCCTGAACGATTTGAAAACTTACCTAAGGTAACAAAAAAACAGAAGAGGCTGTCAACAATGGTGTCCATGACAACTTCCATTTCTGTGTCTGTGATGTCTGGCCTATTAATGGCTAAAACAACAGAGGAACAAGGGAAAACATGATCAAAGTTTAGGTCTTCACAAAATGAGTACATTAATTTGTATGCAATTGGGTAACATAATACTGAAATCAAATTTTTGGCTATAAATTTTTAAAAAGTGAAGAGTCAAAATCATATTACTTCAAACCCCTACAACAAACAAACAAAAAAGCCACAAAATACCTCAGCATCAGAATAGTACTAGGGGAACCTCCAATCAAGTAAACTGTACCAAGTTTCTACCAGAGCACACAGGAAAACACTATCCATAATTTTATTCACACTACTAGATGTCCTCAAGAAGCTACTCATCCTGTTAATCACCAGCTGCCAGACAAATACAATTCAAGTAAGTATGGAAAAAAACAATTGGCACCTAGCAATTCTTGTATATTTGTTAGTTATATGAATTTCCTTTCTAGTCTATAGAACTGTATCTAAGTAGCTCCCAAAATTTAGTACATTTAGAAATTATCCTGCTAATAAGGGGAAGAAAAACAAGCCTCCCTGTAAGCTTTTAAAAGGTAATGATTCTTAGCTCTTTCTTGTTAGGGATTCATTTCAATAGATGTGAGACCATTTTAAGAATTGTGACCTATACCTCAGGGGCTTCTAATATGAGCAGTCCATTACACTGCTGTGAAGAATGTTCTGGACACCCAAAGACCTGAATTATTTCTCTTTCTCTTAATATCTAGAGTCAGTGTCTCACAAGGTGGATACTTGATTGCCATATATCAAAAGACAAAAACTTGTATTTACACAGTATTTTAAATATACCAATACTCTAAATAAAAAATAAATATAAAATTTAATATAGCTTGTGATAAGAGGAAGGCAGAAACTATTAGTATATCAAAGTTCTAAGGAAAGTGTATTCAACCAAAGAAGATAGTAATTTCATCAGGCAGTACAGAATCCAAATGAAGGAAATGCATTGTTATTAGGGTGTCACAGACTCATCTAGCCAACCCAGGTGAAAGGGGCAGGCAGGTAAGATTTCAGTGAACATGAACTCTGGTTCATTCTGCCAATGACTTGGCTGGGGTAGTACAGGAGTACAGTCCTTTGGTCCCAGCTCCATGTCTACCAATGAGAAGCAACCTTGGCAGATACAAACTGTTTGTCAGTAATGTCAACCCAACTTGTGACTTCTTTCTAGGGGATAACCTCAGTTTGATTGAGACGAGTCAGCTACTTGCTTACTTTATTCGGTAAATGTGTTATCCACTAAAATTTAGAAGTAAAAGGACAAGGGATACAAATCAATTCCCCAGGGTTACTTTATTTGTTTAGGGCTATCCATTTAAGATCCTGGTTAAAGATCTTACAATGCTTGTGAGGATTTGATACGTTACGTAAGGATTAAGAGCCCTATCCTGGATAAGAGCACCTGCCCTCAGTAAACCAGACTCTGCCACTGCCTGGCCCTAAAGAAAAGGTGATTGTTTAAATAGCTATGTCTCATATTTCTCCTCCAAAAAACAGAAATAGGGGCTGGAGAGATGGCTCAGCAGTTAACTTAAGAGCACTGGCTGTTCTTGCAGAGAATCTGGGCGATTCCCAGCACCAATGTGGTGGCTAACAACTGTCCGTAACTCCAGTTTCAGGAGATCCAACACCCTCTCCTGACCTCCTTGGGCACTGCACAACAACAGGTACATTTACATACATGCAGGCAGTACACTTATATACATAAATTAAAATTAAAATACAAAAAAAAAGAAAAAGAAAAACAGAAATAACTATTTCACAGTTAACCTGAGGAATAAGTTTTAAAAAACTGGTTGGCACAGGCCAAGCAGTTACGACTGACACAACGGAGAACCTGGGTGAGTAGCCATGTGGTTATACTTCAAAACTCAGTTAATTTTAACATTGGATTTTTTTTGCTGAAGTTGACAAATACAAGGATATGGAATTCAATCTAAGTATCTGAATTTAATGAACTTCAGATTTATTACAAGTTTAGCTATTTTAAAATCAATGTTAACATTTGGTAAATCTGCCAAAATCTGCCTGGATTGGATGTGAATTATTTTAAAAGAAAACTTAAAATACTGAATTATTAAATTCAATGTTAAATACTTAAGAGAATTTAACAAACCGAATTTTCTAATTAAACTTGTTAAAAAGGACTGATATGAGACTAGTCTGTTCAATTTAATTGATCAAGGAAAAATTAGAGATGCTTTTAAAAATTTTTATCAAATTTATAAATAACAAAATAAGAGATTTTCTTTTAGTTTAAAGAAGAAAACATGTTATAGAACTCAATGAGGCCCAAAGATCAATGCTCTCTTTTCTCAGAAAGCTTACTATCTATATCAGGGTTTTGTAAGTCCAGAGAACTCTTGTCTAAGGTCAAAGTACCAGACAATTAACTTTACCCTGCATGAAAATACTGTCTTACTTGCTGTGAATGAACTATTCACACAAGCTGTTCTGGGGACACCTGACAGGTCAGACAACTGGCACTTTACTGAGCTTACAGAGCATGTTTATTAAGTCTTGTTTAATATGTGACAAAGTTTAGTTTAAGACTCACTTCCTATGTGTCTTAAAAAAAAATCTTTTGGGGCTGAGAGATGGCTCAGCAGTTATGAGCACTGGCTACTCTTCTAGAGGACCCAGGTTTGATTCTCAGCACCCACATAGCAGTTAACAATCATTTGTAACTCCAATTCCGGGGGAACCTGATGCCCTCTTCTGACCTCCATGGACATTGCATGACATGGGTGCACTTACACACATGCAAGCAATATATTCATACATACACACACAAAAATAAATTAATATTAAAAAACAATCTTTGGGGGCAGGAGAGATGGTTTAGCAGTTAAGAGTATCAGCTGCCCTTGCAGAGGACCCGGATTCCAGTCCCAGCACTACATGACAGCAAAGAAACATCCATAACTCCAGTTCCTGGGGATCCAATGCCCTCTTCTGACCTCCATGGGCATTGCAGGACACAGGTGCACTTACATGCATGCAGGCAATATACTCATACATATAAAATAAAAATAATAAATAAAATTTAAAAAAATTAAGATATGCTGCTGTAAACAGATCTGTTAAGTACAATATACAAGTCTACTGTTTTCTTCCTACATTGCTCACCACAATGAACTACGGTATCTGTGTTTTCACATACCACGGTGTCACAATGAACTACGGTATCTGTGTTTTCACATACCACGGTGTCACAATGAACTACGGTATCTGTGTTTTCACATACCACGGTGTCACAATGAACTACGGTATCTGTGTTTTCACATACCACGGTGTCACAATGAACTACGGTATCTGTGTTTTCACATACCACGGTGTCACAATGAACTACGGTATCTGTGTTTTCACATACCACGGTGTCACAATGAACTACGGTATCTGTGTTTTCACATACCACGGTGTCACAATGAACTACGGTATCTGTGTTTTCACATACCACGGTATGAAACAAGCTCCTTATTTTGATTACATAATACAAACATGTCATCTTCCAAGGTAATAAAATTGAGATACTGGTCAAAAACCTAGAAACAAATAAAAACATTTATTACTCAATTTTACAATACAGCCGCATCAAACATTTAGTTTGACTGAATCTCCTACTAGCAAAAATACTTTCAAGAACTAAAAACTGTACTAAAGTAGTAGACTACTTAACAACTAGGTAAATACAGAGTTAAGAGTTAAAAAAAAAAACCAAAACTATTTGAAAAACAAGCTTGGGGCAATAATGACCAAGAGCAAGAATTTCAGAAAACTATGAAGATACAAAAATTTAAATATGGGGCTGGAGGGATGGGTCAGTGGTTAAGAACACTGGTTATTCCCGTAGAGGACCAGGGTCTGAATCTCAGCACCCACATGGTAGCTAACAACTGTCCTTAACTCCAGTTCCAGGGGATCCAATAGCCTCTTCTGTCCTCCACGGGCATTGCAAGACACGGGTACACTTACATATATGCAGGCAATACACGCAATACACATAAAATAACTAAAATATTTTAAAAATTTAATGTGGTTGTGATGGGAATGGATATTAATTTTGAAAAACTACAATTTAAAATTTATATTCACTGTAATTTTGTGTCCTTAACAAAGACATGGCAACCAATTTTGTATTGTAACTTTTTATAAATACAGTGCACAAGAGTTATGACAGTGCTTTAGAAGAGAATTTTTTGTTTGCCTTTGTTTTTATTGAGAAAGGGTCTCCCTATAGCCCCAGCTAGCCTAGAACTCACTATGCAGCATACACTCGCCTTGATCCCAGAGAAATCTACCTGCTTCTGCCTCTCAAGGGCTGGGATTAAAGGTGTGCACCACCACGCCTGGCTTAGAAAAGCAAGATTTTAAAAAATTTTATTATTTTTATTTTATGTGTATGAGTGTATTGCCTGAATGTATTTAAGTACATCTGTGTTGTTCAACGTCTGTGGAGGTCAAAGAGCACTGGATCCCCTGGAACTGGAGTATGGACAGTTGTTAGCCTCCAAGTGGGTATTGGGAATCGAACTTGGTCCTCTGCAAGAGCAACCAGTGCTTTTAACTGCTGAGCCAGCTCTCCAGTCCAGAAAAACAAATATTTAAAAAATTATCTGGGGAGATGGAGCAAATTTTAAAAAAATTATCTGGGGGCTAGAGAAAGAAGTTATGAGCCCTTGCTCTTGTAGAAGACCAGAGTTTGGTTCCCAACACCCCTCCTGAGTGGCTCACAACTGCCTGAAACTCCAGTTCTAGAGTATCTGATGCCCTTTCCTGAGCTCTGTAGGACACGCACGCATGCACGCACGTACGCACGTGTGAAAATAAAAACAAAATGTAAATTTTTTTTAAACTTATTTTTATTTTGTAAAATAAAATATATTTGTGCATAAATGTTTTGCCTGCATGTGTCTAAATGCACCCATGTACGTGGAGGTCAGAAGAGGGCATTGGATCTCTTAGAATTGGAATTATGGATAGTTGTTAGCTATCATGTGGGTGTTGTGAGCCAAACCCAGATTTTCAGGAAGAGCAGCCAGGGCTCTTAACTGTGAGCCATTGTTCCAGTACCCCTCCTGCCCCCAGTTCTTTGCTTAAAGATCTGAGAGATATTAAATTTAGTTAAATCAAAAACAATTCATTCCTATGATTTCACGTGAAATTAGTGAGAATTTTTGAGCAACACTGATGAGGCAACCTCAAAAGCTACTCCCCTAAGATATTGTGTGCATGTGTGTATGGGGGGGGTAAATGCATACTTGTATCTTTCTTATCTAAAAAGCCCCTTATTTTAGATAAAAAGTCACTATCAGGTGGAATTGCTGGCCTATTATAAATTCTTTTTTTTTCCTTTTTAAAAACTTTTCATTGTAAATTCTTTTTCTTTTTCTTTTTTGAGACAGGGTCTCCCTGTAGCCCCAGATGGCCTGGAACTCATTATGTAGCCCAGGCTAACCTCAATCTCACAGAGATCTGCTTGCCTCTGCCTCCTGAGTGCTGGTATTAAAGGCATGCACCACCATGCCTGGCATAAATTCTCTTTCTTACTTTACACGCTGTAGTTTCTTTGCACCTTCTTTCCTAAATAAAAAAGGATCTGGAGATAAGGTGACTGACTATAGTAGCAATTCCAGAGAATACAATGTCAGTATATTATGAGTATAATTTATGATCTGAGCCATGAGGATTATATAAATCTCAGCCTAAAAC